TCAAACTACACATGTGGGGTTCTCCCTTAATTACTACTCCATATGCGATAACTTGCCCACATGAGTGATACTTCCGGCTCTCCACGCAGTGAAGTCAACAGACAATACTTGTTGAGCCGCCAGTGCTTGTGAAAGAAGAATAGAGATTTGCGCTTGCACTCATGCAAAAGTCATGCTCCTTACAAGTCTGCCAAGTTAAAGGAAGACCTAAGGTGCAGAAGCCCTGAGGTTTCCGCGAGGACTTCCATTCGCAGTTTCCCACAATTCGCCTTGCTGCAGTGTTTGCAGGAACGTGAGCCACAAAATGTTTAACGCCAAGCCCCATTCCGCCTCCTCTTGGAGAATCGGCGGCGTGACTTCCACACCAAGTGGCGGGCCCAGGGAAAAATGCTGGAGTATGTGCCTCGGCCAAGCACTCAATCAGTGTGGGAGCTACAAAGGCAAGCTTAAGGCTTGGCGCATAAGCGCGAGCTGCTGATTGCCCCGTACGCAGAGCCATCTGTTTTATGGACACTTCTGTGCCATCCCCATGCACATTTGGTCTATGAGATAAGCACTTTGCAGCATTGGCTGCGGCTTTGGGAAACAAGCTGATGGCGTACATCCGTGAGAAGCCGAAGCGCCTGAGAGCACCGCCCACTCGCTTCGCACGCTTGCAGCGCTGCTTGGTTTGTCAAGGCATTTGGTTGTAGGCCCTTTCTGCGAATCTCAGAAAGCAGGAGCAGTGTCTGGAGCCATTGGTCTGCTCTCTGACATCCAGCAAGGACTGAGTTGAAGGCGAGGAGCGAAACTTGCAGCTGGCACTGAAGTGATGCTAAGAGCATGATTGCTGCCTGCCACCGGGCTGCCTCGCTACAGGCTGCAATAATGGAAACAGCGGAAGTGGCATCTGGCTGCATCTGCTCGGCCTGGAGCTCGGCAAACAGAGCGAGTGTACGCTGCCACTGCCCTCCGCTTTTGCCACAAGCACCCAGCGCAGCGTTGTACGACACCAAGGTCCTTCGAGTTCTTATTACGGACATGTCGGCAAAGAGTGCCAAAGCATGTGCCCAGTGGTCCCCTGCTTCGCAAGCACTGATTGTGGCGTTGTATGTGACAGCTGTGGGTTGAAGGGCTGAACTCTGCAAGTCAGAGAAGAGCAGCAGGGCAAGCACCCAGCTCTCACCACTGCGGCCACAAGCACTTATCATGGCATTGTAAGTGATGGTGGATGCTTGCAAGTCGCCCTGCCAAACCTCTTGGAATAGCTTGAGCGCCGCCTGCCACTCCCCGCTTTTGCTGCAAGCGCTAATGGCTGCATTGTATGAGATCACATCTGCCTCGATCTGCCTGTGTGGAAGACTGGCAAGCAGCCGCAATGCGTGCTGCCACTGTGCCCCTTTCTCAAACGCGCTAATGGCGGCGCTGTAAGTGATAAGGCTCCCAAGGATGCCAGACTCTTCCATTTCAGTAATCAGCGATAGCGCGCCCAGCCAGTGCTCTCCCCTCTCACAGGAAGTGATCGCAGCACCGTATGTGAAGTCATTGACCCGCACAAGCTCCGCCTTTGCTTCTCCAAAAAGTTGTAAAGCCGTCTGCCACTGAGCACCCTTTCCTGTACAGCTGATGGTAGCACTGAAGGTAAACACATCCGCGTTGAGCCGTCTTGCAGTCACGTCTTGGAATAGAAGAAGAGATTGCTGCCATTCACTCTGTCTGTCACAAGCACTGATGATCTTGTTGAAGCTGACCAAATCGTGCTGCAGGTTCCTACGCTCTAGTTCCGACAGGGCAGATAGCGCAGCTTGCCACTTTGCTGCTTTGCTGCATGCACCAGCTAAGTCTGCGAGCAGCTTGGCGTTTACAGCACTGCCCTTAGCATCGAGCTCTCGCAACAGTGCCAGACCGGCCTCCCATTGCTGATTCTTACCATGCTTGTTGACGGCGTGCAAGTCTGCGTTCAAGGCCGACCCTGCAAGAATTCTTGCAGGCATTGTGCCCTCAAGAGGATTCTGTTTAGGCAACGCCTGCGGAATGATCAAACTGTGGCCGACAACTGAAATGAGCTATGATCAGGTTGCCAGCTCTAGAAAAGTCTCAACTATCGGCTGCAGTTTGCAACCCCAAAGCTGTGCTCCGGACAACACCTCGGGTGTGGACACGGTCTCCAGCACGTCGGTGAATCTTGGCTCCTTGCCAGCACGTCGTGTTTGCTCTGCTGAGTTTTAGAAGAGTTTTAGCTGTCTATTCCGAGCCCAGTGACTGACATCATCTGCAAAAGCAAGTTCCGCCGCTTCTCTGGTGTGCACACACGAAGACCTGAAAAATGCCGGCAGAAATCCAATTACTGAAAGTCGGAAAGTAGACATACACAAGGATGACAGCCAAGCACGACAAACACCACATGTGGGCGCGCTTTCAACGAGATTTGGTTCGGAAGATAGAGGGACCATTGCGTGATGCAGTGCATGATGTGCCTAGGCAAGCAAGTTTCAGCACATCGATCTGGTAGCTGGCAGGGCTTCTGGGCTCCTGCGATAGCTAACAGCATGCAACAGATGATGGCTTTAGATTGCACACTACACTGGGCAAGCTCACTGGCAGTTGAAAGGCAGCTGCATCTATCCAGTCCAGTGGGAGAGCTCTAGCCATCTCTAGCCCATCAGCAAGTCCTGCCAGTTCGGATTGTACCAGGAATCCTGCTCGAGAGCCCAGATCAGAACCTGCACCAACAGCAGGAGAGTTAGATTTCGAGTGTTCGCGCCGCAAAGTAAACAAGCCTGGTATAGCCTCCAAGGCCGTTCATGCAGACACAAAAATGACTGCTCTGATTTCCTACCTGTGCGCTCCCTCTGGATTTGCGAGAAAAAAATGAAGTCATCTTGTCGTCCTGCAACCCTGGTTCTATGTTGTTCTTAAATGATGGAATGCTTGCACATTTTTCCTGGGGTCTTTACATGTGTCTGCACTGGTCAGGACTCGGCTTTGTGACCGCACCGTAGCCAGCACGTGAGGTATTCAGCAGCCAGCTTTGCCAATCTGCTTCCCTCTAGCTGCCCTAAGATGCGCTTCTGAAATGCGCTGGAAGCCTGCGTGTTTCGGATCAGGAACCCGAACACTTCTGGCGATCCTGGGTCTGTCACAGGGTATACAGGGTTTGGCATCAGCAGGCACTGCCTGGATCATCTTGTAAAGGACCAAGTATCAGTCTGCGACTACGACCGATCTGAATTATAACCTCCAATCCCCAATGCTTTCTCACAGGGACACTGGCAGGGCACGCCAAACTTCTCCGCATGAACAGTCTGCTATGATAGATCGCACTATGCAAACACCCAGGTTCTCAACCAATTGAGCAACAGCACACATGGCAGAGTCCCGTCGTTGATCGTCGCTGACACTCTGGAGAAAAAGAGTCAAGATGCAGATGAAAGTCTCTCTGGATGTACGGGTTCTTGCGTGTCCTTGTGATAGAGAAGGTCACGGAAACGTAGCCTCAGTTTAGCTCTGCTGGGCTTGGGCTATGGAACCCTGAGAACATGTGCCTTGCTAGGCTTGCTGGGAAGGGACTCTGTTCTCGGCACGGCTCTCACAAACAAGTTACTGCTCATTGACAACAACCAGCAATGTCATGACCAATGCTGGGCAGGCCTCGCCACCATCGAGCACCCCTCATTTGTCAAGGAATTTCTGAGTGCCGAACATTAACTGCACGACCTCGCAGGCAGCTTGGCATTTAGTTTCCACAAAGACTGTCTTGACTGCAAGGCTGGGGTGGCACGGAGAGCAGTTGAGACCAGCCTTGACCACTTCGCCGACCCACAGCATTGCCCTGATCACTTGCATGCCTGAAGCTGGTGGAGAGATGTGGAGAGCACCGAGACATGCCCTACTTGCGCCCTTCAAGGCTTGTTTCATGCACTGGGCATTCAGAACCTACGAACGAGCAGGCTTCTCATTCAGACAATCTGATCTAAGCACCTAGGATAGCCCAAAATCCGGGACCAAGCTGCTCAAAGTAAGCGTGCTCTTTCTTGTTGCATCCTGCGAGGGGTACGCATAAAGTCGGTTTTTCATGTTTCGGTTTTCGCAAGAGGCCTGGTGGTCTTGAGCGTAAATCTCATCAATGGACTTGTTGTAAACATGGCAATGCCTCTTTCCGCGGGTCCTCGTCTGCTAGAAAAGCTGCAAAGAAGTTGGTCCCAGCAGGCTGTTGACTGGAGAACTCCAGTAGCTGAAATATTCTGTACATCCGATTCCGGTCCTGCGACGCGGCTGAATCTTCAAGTCAAATGCTCCAGAGACAGAGGAAAGAGACAGAGAGAGAGAGAGGGTCTAGCTGTCTACCTGTTCCGAAGAACTCTCCTCACTTTTCATGTCTGCATTTTGTGATGCCATTGTTGCCTCCCAGTGCATTCGCTATTCCTTCTTTGCGATCGCTTCGTTTCAGTGACAGAGCACGGGGCTGTTGCAAGCTGGGCAAGTAACAGTCTTAAGACCTACTGCGCAGCCCTGCGGCGCTAAACAGAATGAGTGGGCAACCTCGCCAGGACAAAATGTGGGCTTGCTGAAGAAGCAAAACAGCTTCATCTGGAAGGTCTGTCCAGCGTAATCCTCGTGAGGCCTCTGCCAACTTCTCTGCAACATCTCCACTAAGGCAGCAGCGCAGCAGCTGGACTTACAAGTTACAAGCTGGCATTCAGAAGTTAGCAATGACAAACCTAAAGCTTGCTCCTGCAGCGGGGAATAAAAGAAGCCGAAGGGCCGGAGCCTCAAAGGTGCCGAGTAAGGTTTTCGCCATCCAAATGCCCTGCAATGCCCTGCAATGCCCTGCTGCCAGGGTTCAAGTAACGTCGAAACGTGGCAGTCAGGACGAGCTCAGGTCTCTTTTCAGGTGGTAGGTAGCCCTCCACCTCAAGGCAGGTTCTCCGATTCTTAAGCCGTGTAGCATTTCAGGCTTCCAGCCTTCGCCAGGTCCGCCATGCGAGCATCAAACATAGCTCGCATCTCATTTGTCACTGCCTGCAGCCCGTCTCGTGATGGAATACCAATTGCACCAAGGATATCACAGACCACATAAGGTGCCCTACATAAT